TACTTCAACTTTGGGGGGGGGGTGCTACAACAGAAAAGAAAAAGGGGCGTGACCTAAAATATTTGAAAAACACTGATTTATGTTACATACGGGATAAACGGTTAAGAGACAGATACCAGGGTCCAATCATAGCCATCCCTAATTTAAAACTGTTGGCCCTACTTATATTCTTACTTCCCAAACAGAAGAGTTCACGAAAAGCAAAATTTTCCACACCACAAATGCGGTAATAAAGCAATTTCATACTACCTGGCACCAGGTGTCGCTTTGTAATTTAGGCTGAAATGTTGGAGCAATTCATATACTGCAGTCTTCGTGGTCTTTTCATCTCTTTTACCCAGGAAAATTATAAGTTGACCTTTTAGTTTATAGGTGTCACTACTATCTGTAAATTGGCAAGTTGGATGAGAAACATACATACTTAAGATTAAATACAACTCTGGGGAATTTTTCCCCCTGGTATATATATTAAATTGTTCATTATTTATAAGCTTTCGGTTCCGTTAATGAAGCCTTCGTAAATAATAAACAAATTGGTATTTAATCGAAAAAAAAAAACTTTCCAAGAGTTTAATTTAATGTTTATTTTCCTAACAAGTCACATGAAAAAATATGCTCGTTTTATAACCTTCCCTTCCTTTTATATAATCTCCTGTTTATTATTAACGGAATGCACATCACAGTTTACAAACGTACATTAAATGTTTACTTACTACACGTCTATTTATAAATTGTCATAAACGTTTATTAAATATTACCAACGGACTTCTTACCCCCAATGGACTTCTGTGGCTTGGTCTGATTAAAACGTAGTCTTGAAAACTCATATACAGTTATGGAAATTGGGCAGTCGGTGATCAGTTAGTTTATCGCAAATCATGGACAGATTTAAATATATAATTTAAGCCACATATATAGTGATTTCACAAAGTCGTGTTCTAGTTGTTCATGAACCGTGTATAGACGTAGAAAATATTCGAATATTTCACTCATGCGATGAACCATCAAACCTATACAAAATGAACAATCACAGAAGACTCTTGTGAATTGGTTATAAATGTCTCAGAGTGTCATTGCCAATATGCAAAACTCCTTCCACACCATTCGTTGGACACGAGTACAAGGCAGATCACCGCCAATAACAGAGGCATACGAACAGTATTTGTAGTTTAAGGATCGTTGTAATCTTGGGGTACCTGCTTTGATTCTGAATCAATTGTTTGCAGCTGCAACAGAGCGCTGTGCTAGTGTAGAGACGGTTAGAAACAGACTTCACAAGACCAGCGTGTATTCCAGCCTCCCAGTAAGGTGTATTCTGACTAAAACACCTCACTTGAAATGCTACCAAGATCACATCCAGTAGAGTAACTAACAATACTTAACAGATGAGATGCACTTCACATATTAATCTGGAGAGAATGTGGGTCCAATCCATTCCCTTACAGGAATGTGAAGCCTATTGCTTTGGTAGAAATATGGTATGTACAGGAGTAAGTATTGACGTAGGTACCGACTCCTACATATGTAATATGGTACCACATATTATAGAGACCACATCCTGACCCTTTGTGCTATTATGTATTAATGCTTTTGGCCATGGATTCAGTCTTAAGGTTCGTAAATTTGAATTTTGGAACAAGCTAAATCCGGATAGGGTCGTGTGTTAAACTTAGCCTGTGGTGTTACATTTTTTAACATGTTGATCGCTCAAGAAACTTATTTGTTATCTGCTATTGCATGTTTCAGGTTATCATTCTTAGCTTTGCATTGGGGGATGGGGGATGTTTTTTTTAATTATAATAGTGTTTTGCTTTGGCATAGCTGGAACGTGCACGCCCCCCACCCGTATAGCTCTGTGCATATGGACGCTTTTATCTTGTAGATTATAATGCTGTGCACACAGTGTATATACGTGTGTTGATATGGTTTATATATACAGACATATCTGTGTGTATAACATCTCCCCCCCCCCCCTAAATAGCGGCCAGTCTACGGTGTGATCTTATTAAACATACACGGCTTAAGACTTGTAATTCAAACACTAACATGTACCTTTCAAAATACGGTTCAATGGAACAGTATTGTAACATTTATTAAAATAAAATAAGAATTGGGGATTTATTTATTTTTTAATTCATATCAAACGTTTGAATTGTTGGGCACTTGAAGTTTATGAAATAGATCGACAGATGAGTTATAAAATATTAAATATTTCTGGTCAGTTAATTAAATCGAAATATCTCTATTAGTGTACGACAGTTGAGTTATACAATATTAAATATTTCTGGTCGGTTAATTAAATCGAAATATCTCTATTAATGTACGACAGATGAGTTATAAAATATTAAATATTTCTGGTCAGTTAATTAAATCGAAATATCTCTATTAATGTACGACAGATGAGTTATAAAATATTAAATATTTCTGGTCAGTTA